TGGGATACCTGTATTGAACTATGTTTCCCTTGATGATAAAATATTAAATTTAGATTTTTCTCACTATATTTGCTAATAGAACAAAATTAGAATGAAAACAGGTGTTTTCTTATAATATTCAGTACTACAAAATCCACCTACCATCTCCATAAACCCCACTCTAGTTAAATAAAATTAATTAAAAACAGAATTTAATTAGATATATCAAGTTTTAATTGCAAGCTTATTAATTGCAGCAAAAAACCCTCGGCAAATGGAGATGAGGATCTAATAAAGAAAAAAAGCAACAGTTTGACAGTCGTGCTACATTTAAAAACAAGAATGTTTCTTGCACATAACTAGCAACTGGCTTGCCTTTAGTATGGTTTAAATCAGAGGTGTCAAACTCAATTTCATTGAGGACAATATCAGGGTTGTGTTTGACCTCAGTGGGCAGGCAGGCATGGCCAGCTCAACATCACTCATGTCGGGGGCACCTCTGGTGGCCAAGTGCTAAGGCAGGACTTTCCTGAAACTCTCCTTCACTCTCATTATAATTTCCTTCCTTCCTTCCTTCCTCCCTCCCTCCCTCCCTCCCTCCCTCCCTCTCCTCCCTTTTCTTCTTTTTCCTTCTCTCTTCCTTCTCATTTTTTCTTCCTTCCACTCTTTCCTTATTTTTCCTTCCTTGCTCTCTTTCCCATCTTTCCTTCTTCTTTTTTTTTTTTGTATTTCCTCTTTTCCCTTCTCCTTTCCTGTTCCTTCTTGCATGCTCAAATGCAAAAGGTGAAACATTTATCCTTTTGTTTTGTTTTTAGTTTGTTTTGCTAGCCTCTGCCAGCAAAAAAGAAGCTGGGGGGTGCCATTTTTGGGCCATAATGGCCTCCTGCAGCCCTCTGCCAGTGTGTCCCCCCTCCCCCCAAGCTCCATTTTCACTGACAGAGGCACCATGGGCCGGTCCTTTGCTGTTTCCAGAGAGGCCCTGTGGGCCAGTTGTGGCCCATGGGCCTTGAGTTTGACACCCCTGGTTTAAATTATGGGAGAGAAAACATTTAAAAGTAGGGATTCTCTTACTTTACCAGCAAATGAAAAGAAAAATGCTGGTGGGCAAATACTTGATTGTATTCCCTTTATTCCATCCTATTCCTCACCTGAAAAAAACATAGTACCAAAGAAATAATTCTGAAAGGTTTGCTGACTGCCCCAAATCACAAGTAATCCTGGATTTACAACTATAATGGAGACTGCCCACTGCAGTCATCAGTTGTGACAGTCATAAAGTAGGTCACCCATGTGAATGGCCTAATTTTGAGATCATTTTTGTGCAGGCGTTAAGTGGCCACTACAGTTGTTAAGCAAATGCCATAGTTGTTAAGGGAAGAAATTATTTGCTATGAGCTGGTTTTGTAGAAAACAGAAAAATACTGGTTTTCGGAGAAAAATCATAATACAGTATGTAGCCATTTACTGCAAATGGCTGTAAATGAGAGCCAGCTGACCTGACCTGAGGTCACATGAAAATTGGGGGGGGGGGGGGGCAAACAGTCAGAACTTCAGAAGCAGGTTGTAAGTAACCCTAGGGACAGTTTTGAACAGTTGCAAAGTGACTGGTTGTATGTCAAAACTATCTGCATTTCACAACCTTTTAACAATCTTTTCTCTAACAAAACATAATATAAAAAATAAGCAAAAAAATAAGCCTCATTAGAGTTTTATCATAGTTTTTTAATTATAAAAAAAGACTGTATATACAGGAGAAGGCCTTGCAGCTTTTGTTGTATATTAGATGACCAGGAAAGACCCAACTTAACCCCAGCCCCCAGCAATGGAAGCTCAAGGATTTGGGCCATTTAGTATGAGATATTTAGATTACAAGTCAATTTGACTGTTCATTGATGTATTAGAAAAACAGTTGTGGAAGAAAATTGCTTTTTTTTAAGCATCTTCAATTCCTGTTCTCTGAAAGCTTTGCTTACAGGAAACAATGCCTATACAATGTATAGTGAATAGAAAGGCACAGTTGGCAATGGAACCAACAGACTATAAGCTACCATACAGGAATGTATTAGTGTAACAATTATATAGTAAACAGTCACCCATTTTCATCAGAATATGAACCAAATATAGTTATTTCTATCTTGCAATTTGAACAATTTTAGGTATTGTGGAAAAACTTGTTGTCCATATCATTTCTGTAACATGTCTGCCACATGTAGAAACTGTCTAAACATTCTGTAAACTCAAACCCAGGAGCTGTATTTTCACCTCTGTTTCATCTTCACATTAACATATTCTCTGCATTAGGACGATTTCCAATTGACACTGAAGGCACCAAGCTCTGAGGTTAGCAATAGGTATAACATACTCAATTGCAAGACAGATGCTGACGGGCTACAAAATACAAGGCCAAGTTGAAATACCCACTTGTGCAGTAACTGTGCACAAAAGATCTGTCACCTTTCTCCAGAGAAAGCAATTTCAGATGAAATTGTTATATGCTGTGCCAAGAGTGTGGAAATTATTTTCTACCACAGTTCAATACATTCTGCACAGCTCTGACTGATAGCAAGGCACAATGTTGACACCAATAATGTGTCTTTAAAAGTGAGCTGAGCAGATGTTGTTGTTACTCTTACTATACCCACAACAATGTGAAATCACAGCTGCCAGTTCTTTAGGTGGTATTGACCTTTATACATATCAAGTTCTTCACAAGAACCTATGATGACGTAATGTATCGGACTACTGTATGCCTAGATCCAAGCATTGTGGCTTTTTGCAACTGACTAACAGAAATTCTGTCAGTGCATAGATTTTCTGTGCTGTCCAAAAGTTTTTGGTATGAGACCTAGTGTATTGATAGCCAGTCGGATCACCAAGGCCAGTTTATGCCATAATGTTTTAATTTCAATTTTTAGATCTTGATATTTTGTGATGTTCTCTAATTATTTGTCTTTATTTTACTATCCTCTGGTTTCGCCACACCAATTATCCACGCTTTTTTCTTTTCAACTCCACATGGTATATTATGAGCCAAGACTTCATCAAGTGTATTTGGAAATCCCACAATATTTTAACTTCTTCATTTTCAGCTACCTTTTCAACTATATGTTCCCACCAATTTTTCATTACTGGCACATATTTTTTATGGATTGTTCCAGTGAATCATTTTAGTGACTGTGTTATGTTGTTGTTTATAAACTTTTCATGCGACATTCTTGTACATGCTGAGTATATCATCTACTGTTCTTTTTGCACAATTAGCACTTTGAAAGATTTGATCATTTTTCAATTTTGGCCTAATTGAATTAGTTTAAATAGGTTGCTCTTGACAGACAAAATCAAGCCTTTAGTTTCTCTTTTTAATATTACAGTGGTAAGCTATTGTTAGGTTGAATTTTTATCTACTTTATCCTTTATCTCTTCTAGAAATTGACTATGTAATATTTTTCCTTGCCAGAATCTCCTTTAATTTGCTAAAAGTTGTTCAGTGATATCTGAATTTGGACAAATGCTTTTCCACAATTCAAACGTTTAGTTGAATAGTCTCACTTTGTTGCTTCCAATTTGTAATAGCAGGCCATAATGGCACGATTTTCACACACAACATATATTTGTTTTATCTATGGTTGTGCTTCTTCTAGTAATCCTAGAGGGTTAGGAGCTGGTTGCCCAGCCAAGCTTCCGAGTTTAATTTCTCACTTGTTGCCAAATGCTCAGGACTCTAACATTTGACATAGTCCTTGTTGACCTGGGCAACAAATTACCTGATACGTGATTCTTTTTCTCTATTCTCATTATAGTAAATGGGTTAATGGGTTCTTATTGTTGCTTGCACAGTCAGCCAGCTGTTTAGGATGGATTTGGCATTTTTATCCACCTATTAAGTCCTTCCCAAGGACCCGAGATAGGCAAATGTGGTTGTTTGATGGTGTTAAAGATATTGTTGCAGAACCTAAGCTGTTCCAAGTAAAACTGCCTTTTGCAATTGAGTAATGGTGATGTTGTCTCTGTCTATGGTATTCAAGTAATCATATAAATGTTTTGGGATTGCATCCAAGGCACCTATTATTATTGCTACTATCTTTGCTTTCTTTTGCCACAGTCATTCTAATTCTATTTGCAGGTCTTTGCATTTTGTGTCTTTCCCCCTTCCAGTTCCTTCTTTTCTATTCTGCTGTCTCCAGGTATTGCAATGTCCACTATCCAGAAATTTTTGTCTTTCTTATTGACAACTGCTAAGTCTGGGCTTTTATGTGGCAGATGCTTTTTCTGTTGATGGGAAATGGCTTCCTATTTCAATTGTAACCCTAAATGACTAGAAAAAAGCAATCTCTAATAACTTAAATCAATAGTGACAGAGAAACCTGGCAACTTTCCTGCATTAGAATCTTATCCCAATTTCCTTGTATGCGTGTTATTATTATTAAATTATAGTTGGTCACACAGTCAGCCAGATGTTTAGACTGGAATTGGCATTTTTATCCACCTATTAAGTTCTTTCCAAGGACCTGGGAAAGGCAGATGTTGTTTGATGATGTTAAATTATTATTATTGTATTAAAGTCTACAGTATATGTCATTATCATATTTGTTTTCTCCCCATTTCCTAGGCAATATTGTAAATGGAGAAGCAAAATATTCTAAGGCATCATAATGAATAAAATATTTGACTTACTTCCATTTTCAATATTTATATAAGACACATACAAAAACTGCATTAACAAGGTAAGGTGCTTTTATTAAGCTTTAAGAGTAAAATGCCTTGATCAAAAATTACTATGTAAACTAAATATTGGGTTCAAACATTGCACCAAATTATAAATCAAGCAAATTATATTATGATTTGGTTTAATAATTCAATCTCTACAATTATAGTTTCTAAATAACAAGTTCTGCAAGAAAAGTTATTTTTCCTTCTAATTTCCTCCTAATTTGGCCTTTCATAATTATTTTTCTTCCGAATTAGGTGTATTTAAGAAATAGAACAAGGGAATATACAGTGATCTTCTCACCACATCTTACCAAGGTCCATACTCTTGGAGGCTTTCAGGTTAATTGATTCCGTCTGTTTGGACAGGGTCAAAGATCTGAAGTTGATGGGCTGATCTGGCAAAAAAGTCTCTGAATCTGCTGCTATGCTGTTGAAAGAAAGAAATCATAACAAGTATGTGGGGTGAGGATCAGATGTAGTAATTAAACTCTACACAACATAATGCATTTTCTCTCCTTAGGTCTTATAAGTCATTCAAGGTTTTTTGCATGAGTTATTGCCTACATTAAATCTAAATTACTTTGGGTAACTATCATCCAACCCAAAGGTATTGGTTTTTACCTTTTCAGCCCACTTTATCATTATTTCAGTACTAATAAGGCATATTAAAGTTTAACAAAGTGCATTAATTTAAGTTTTAAAAGTATGCTATCATCTAATACATTTATCATCAGTTCTTAATTTGTTTCCAATTAGATAAATCTGCTAGATGCTCTATAATATGCCCATACTTATGATTAAAAATGCGAATATGCTGCTAAAAAGCAAAATGCTTTGTAGGGAAATCAAGACCAAACTTAATTATATCTCCTTTCAATTGAAAAGATCAAAGGCATAGTCCAATGTCATGCAAGCACGAGTCTTTTCACAAAATCCCTCTGTATTTAGCTCTGCTTCCAAATTTTGCCAAAAAAAAAAAAAGGTACTTCAAAACTATCTCAGCAGATTTGGAGGGCTAATGAAAAATTGTGATGGGGAAGGATCTCTGAACTCCTTTGATTCTGCTAATTTCCATCCCTGGGACTATTAGATCCCAGCCCCTATCATTTCATTTTCATTTCATTTATTGGATTTATATTCCTCCCTACTCCTGAAGGACTCAGGGCGGTGAACAGCCACAGAATAAAACACATAAATACAAAATTTAAAAACAGAATAAAATCGAATTAAACAATTTGGCCGAGATATGCCCTTATTTGATCCATAATTGTCTTACACTTAAGTCTAAAATTAAATTTAAAAATAATACAGTATTCTGAAAATTACATATTCCCAAAAAATTCAATACCAAAATTTCACTGAAATTTGTGAATTATATGAATTTCATGGACACACATTCTGTCTCAAAGAAACACTGCAGGTCTCTTCTGAGGGAAGAAGAAAACTGTATAAAAACTGGACATTTTGAAATATCATTCTAGTCAGAAAGGCAGAACATGCAATAGGGAGAACTCTGGTGAGGACTTGTACAAGTATATAGGCTTCCCAGTCCTTCCATCTTATCTGTGGTTTGATTCAATCAGGTTTGCAATATAACCAATTTTTTAACCAGTTTCCAATTCTATTTAGAATGTTGATAAAGAATCTCCTATCAGAGTGGAAAATAAGATGGGAAAGAGGAAATTGCTCTAAAAAGGGAGAGTTCCATTTAATGAAATTGCAAATCCCATATGAACATAAAAACGCCTTCCCCCATTCTAACACTCAATGAAATATAAAACTGCAAAATGCCCCCAAATGAAAATGTTTACAAGAAGAAATAATTACTAGAAGTAAAACCATTATTACAGTAAGCTATTGATTCAATAGATACATTTGTTGGGTTTAAACTTTGAAGATTTAAAATTTTAACAGGCCTCAGTTACTTCCTACCCAATGAGGATAATGATACATCTAAGTTCAGTGAGTATAAATAAGAAAAACAAATCATAACAGATTTGGAAGAGGAAGAAGGCTGAATATCAGAGCATATGTTGTGGTGCAAATGAACTGTAAAGCAAAACCAGTTTTCACATAACGTGAAAGAGATTCATTGTTATCACTAGACATGAAATAATAAACATTTTCTGACCTATGATTATAATCTGTAAATAGCTTCTCACTAGGATGTGGAGGCAAAGGGGGTGGGACTTCATTTTCAGCTGTGCCGCTTTCAAACTCTGAAATTTAAAGGGAAAAAGAGTAAACAATGGAAGAAGCAAATATTTGTCTCCTGGCCAAAGAACTGAACTGGCATGCTGCATCTCTCTTGAAGTAGCAGCAAATTTATACAAATCTCCAAACTAGCTAAACTAGAATTAAAAATACACCAAGCAAAAAATATTTCCCCTTTAGGATTCTCAACAGACCTGATTTCTGTTTGCTCATGTATAATTAAAGATAAACATATTGAAATTTGCCTTATGATGAAAAATGAAATTCCTATGTTGATTTTAGTAATTTCACTGGATTTCCCATATCTAAGCTTGAGCTAAGACTTAAATAAAACACTCAATGGGTGCATAGATGCTCTATCAACTATGCTGCCATATAGTTAAGCTGTGATTCAGTTCTATTTTGTTATCCACAAATTGTTGTGTATTAGAAAACAAATAAATAATACATATTAACTGATAATGAAAGCATACTCAGCAATTTCTCTTAACATTCTTAATTTGAATCTGGGCATATAAGCCATGTGCAAAATTACTCTCATGTTGTTACTGTCTGAAACATACATGATATGCATAGTCCTCCCAAGGTAAGAAAAAAAAAACATTTCCAAGTTAAGAGAAGAAAAGCTTAATGAATTCGATATTGACCTTCTATCCCATTGAGAGCTGGGAATCTTATTAACTAATAGATGCTTTTAAGGGGGAAGTAGTTGTGGGGGGGGGGAGTAGAGAAATCTGAATAAATTAATATCATCCACAAGCTCTTATTATCTTCATCTAGAATCTTTAAGAGACAAAATAAAGAAGTCTGACCTTCTGGAACAAATTATGAAAGAATGAGTAACTGAATATTTTATTTTAGCCCAAAGCCAGCAATTTACAACAGCCTATGGACATTGAAATGTCCAGACAATAAACAGATAGCTATATAACTGGGGAAAATTTAGTTTACCAGTTGTGCTGACAACCCTTACATGCAGCTGCACAAAATTTTACTACCTTCTAAGTTCCAGCAGACCATCTGTCTGCAAGTAAAAGGGTAAGCAGGAATTCATTAGTGCAATCTGGGAAGCGTGCTAACAGGGTTGCAATACGATTACTGGGTATATCCCTACAAAATTTGAGAATAACAGGACATACCCACTGCTTTGGAAGTTATGCGGTTCAATGTTGTGTTTCTTTTTAATCTGCCTTTCTGCAGAGCAGACACAAAGACAGTAAATCATTCTGCAGTGGTTAGGCTACAGCTTCCAAGATAACTTAAGGAAATACAGACCCCATTCTAGTTGTGGCAGGAAGGATTCAAATGGTTCAAATTAATTTTAAAACAATAGTTTAAAAAAGTGTAGTGGATAATAGCTAGAGGAGTGAATCCACTGTGGGACTAAGGATAGCAGTACATCAAGCTTTGACCCAACTATGCTGCTTTCAACCACAGAAAAGCATGGTTCACCAGAGGTGAGGATAAAAAATTGGCCGAGACATTCAAGATGCTTAAACAAACGTTCAGGCCAAATCTAAGTATCCTTCCCAACTCTGGTATCAGGAGGCAGCTCTGCCCCAGCTAGTCAACTAGAGAAGAGGGGCATTCCCAGAGGTGATATTTCTCACTACTCTGGTCTTTATAAAATACAGAGTTTTGTTTCAACATTAATGGATAAAAAATGTGAAATAATTTGGCTTGCATTTATTATCACCTTTTTTGTTTGATTTTTTTATTTGAAACATTTATTACAATTTTTGTTAAAAATGAAGAAGGGATATTTTGCTGTGACACCATAATTTTAAAATGTGAAGTTATACAACTTATTTTTTTTTTCTTGTGAAAAATAATAGTGGAAACAATAATAGAAAGAATGGTAGGGAAAATAAGATAGATTGTTCAGGCAAATAGGATTCCCTGCATACATAAATAAATCTGAATCAATGACATCCGGGAACATAACTTTAGTTTGATGAAACTGTAGCTGGAAAAAGCTATGCATATAAAATACAGAGTATAATCTGTAACTGTCTTAATTTGATAGATTAATCAAACTTGATAGTTGATTAATCAGTGGGGAGCAATTTTAATTAGTACTGCCACACAATAAATGTCCACTTTTTATTTCTTTAAAGCTATACTATATCAATTCTCATACATTAAACTGTAATCATGAAATAGAACATCCAAACTTCCAATGCTTATGGCACTCAAATCCAATTATACCAGGCACTAATAAGTGAAAATAATCAGCATACTCAGGATAAACCAAGATTTGCAGATATGAAGAAAACAAGACAAATACATAAATAAAAACCTACACAAACCTTTAGAAGTAAAATGGATCTGAATGAACTCTTCTCCCAAGCAACTACGAACAGATAGTTCTTAACTTATGACCGTAATTGAGCCTGAAATTATGGTCGTAAATTGTTGTGGTTGTTAAGTGGATTACCATGTGATCATAACCAATGTTACAACATTTTTGTGATGGTTGTTAAGTGAACACTGCAGTTGTTAAGAGAGTGCAACAATTGTTAAGCAAATCCATTAAACCCAATCAGCATTTTTTGCCAGAAACAGAAGTAGACCCCAAAAACCAGCAAAAAATGATGAAAACTGCAGCCATGAGACAGCAGGATATTGCAAACGGCCGTAGCCAGTAGCCAAGTGCCCAAACTGTGGTCAAATGACTATAGTAAGGGAGGTGGCCATTATCACTTCAAAATCAGGTCATAAGTATCTTTTGAGGAGGTATCTGTCATAAGTCGAGGACCATCTCTAATAACTCAGTTGGACAGCATGTTCATTGAGTTGAGAGGAGGGGTGGGCATACTCCAGGTTGCTTCTCTCAAATATGGTCATCTAGTAGGACATAGGAAGCATGTCTTCCCAGTAGTGGACTTCTTGGCCCTGTGGAAATATTTTCTTTTCTGAAATCTGGCAGGCTCCTAACTCTTCTAGACTTGGAAGGCCTTAAAAAGCTGGCTTTCCCCCGGAAAGTGTTATGGTGATGCTGGACTTTTAATCACAGTTATAAGATTAAAAAATGTTCTTATCACTGTTGCCTTGAGCTGTCCAGAACTGTGGCTCAAAAAATGGGCTGCAGTTCATTCGTCATCTTCGACTTGGGAACCAGAACTTGGGACCAGAACTTCTATCACTAAGTGAGGCAGTTGTTAAGTGACTCGCTCCTGATTATACAACTTTTTCTGCCAAAGTTATTAAGAGAATCTCTGAGTGGCTCACACAATGTTGTGTGATTTTACTTGTCAGAATCCAGCTATGAAGGTCACAAATGGTGATCATAGGATGCTGCAACTGTCATTATAACATTGTTCTGACCCAGCTCTCCAAACATGACAAACCCTCTGAAGTTAATTCAAAGATTCCTTTATTAGGACTGCCAGCAGCCCCAGCAAAAAGTTTCTCTCTCACCGCAGGCTAACAAGTTCATCCAGCCAGGAGATGAATAGTTGTCTGCCACACCTATTCATCTCCGCCCCCTGCCTTTTATCTCCAGAGCTAGGGTTGGGCTTTGCTAGCAGCAGTGGCTCTTCCTTCCCAAGGATTGGGCCACAGATTTCTACTGCTCTCCTCTCCTCTGCCTTCTGAGCATCTGCGTGTCAGGCGCTGGACCCAGTTGTTCCTCCTCTTCCTCATCAGCCATCTCCAGACCTGGAGGCTGTTGACTCTCCATCTGAGGGCTGATGGACAGCCCAGGCTTCACCTCTCTCTCTCTCTCTCTCTCTCTCTGCCAGCTCCATTCCCTCTTCCCCCTCGGAGCTCTCAGGTTCCCTTGATGCTGACCCTGATTCCCACACCTCCTCCTCATCTGATTTGGCTGCTGGAGGGGCCAGCAGCTGACAGGCCACAACATAGATGCTGGTTGCCAAGCACCTGAATTCTGACCATGTGATCATGGGGATGCTATGATAGTCGTAAGTTGATTGTTGTAAGTCACTTTTTTCAGCATCGTTATAACTTTGAATGATCGCTAAATGAAAGTTGAGGATCACTTTATGACTAATTTTAACCCTAAGTCTCTAAAATATCATAAAGCTTTTAGACATGACACATCAAAACCAGGCTCACAGATTCTACCCAAATCAACAAAATAACTGAAAGTTGATATATACATGCTAGACAAGAAAATTGTAAGTAAAAATAATAAAAAATATATAGGCCTAAATGGCACCAAATGAGAGCTGGACAAATTGAACGTTTCATGCAAATACTTTAATATACTGAAATAAATAATGCAATAGAAAAATTAAATGGTTATTGCCAATTTAGGGGAATTTTGAACAATATAATCCAGGTGGGCTCTAATTTTACCAGATGAATAAAATACTACCCTCAAATTAGTTTTGTAAATAAGTAAAGTAAGAATAACTCAATACTGTTGAAAAATTGTACAGACCACTCTATCACTCTTGAGAAATTTGATGCAGGGTATCACCTTGAGGCAATGTGCCTTTTCTTTCTAGGAGGCTCAGCAGTGCTTTTAAAGGTAAATTGTAAATTATCTTATTTTGAATTCACTTTTAAACCTGCTTTTTGAGATATTTAGGCAGATATTTGCCTACTTTAATATCACAAAGGCCAGTTTTAATTATATTAACCTATATAGTAAAGGTTACTCATGAATTAAGTGAAGATAATTAAAAAATGCTTATCTGACTAGCCTCCTAAAATGATGCAATCTTTCAAATTACATATAAATCACAATAAAGGAGAATGTGTGTGTGTGTGTGTGTGTGTGTGTGTGTGTATCTTCATTCTTATTCTCCCTTATTGGTACATATAGAGAATCAGTATCTTGGGTTGTTGGAATGGAAACCTGTGACATAGCCACAAAAATGATAAGTTTGTTGGCAACTTCATAGTTTTCTGGGGGACTTTAGAAATCCTCTGATGAGGCAGATTCCAGTAATCTTTCAGCAACAGAAATGTGAAATTGCTGGCACTGAAATAATACTTCTTTGTAGAGGTTGTTCCAAACAAATGCTGAGTCTGCATCACGGCTTGGCAGAGGAACAAACTGAGGACCTCAGGGTAGCAAGTATTAGATGATTCATGTAAAAATAGACTGAAGGTTGGCATTTCAATATTGGATTTTTAAGTATTTCTTCCAATAATGATAGGCAAAGCAAAATTACTTTAAAGAAGCGACTCTTAATCTTTTCACAAGAATATTAGATTTCTTTTTTAAAAAGCCAAAGTAAATTGACAGAAAGCCAGGATTTATAGAAATACATGAGAAATGAGAAGAACATCAATGAACCACTTCAATTAGCAATAATCATGTCTCGGATAAACCTCACTGGCTATGATACTGCCACTGCACAGTTTTCTAGAAGAAATAAATTCAGTGTATTGGTATTCCAAATTAATACCAATAGATTTCAACATTTAACAATAAAGCAGTACCTATTACATTTAGGATTAATTCTTCAACAACCCCTCACAGGTTTATTTTTTTAACGACATTGGTTCATACTTTTACATTACTCAGTCAAGCCTTTCTTGAGTTGTGCAGCAGACAACAAATCTCTTTCTTGAGTCGTTGCACAGACAACAGTGCAATCTAGCCCCTTCCTACACAAATTTTAAAACTGAGGGTTTGCCTTCATGTACATGTGCTCCTTCACACTCCCATTCACATCACATCACCATTTACACACACAAACACATTCCTTTTACACAATACATGTTATGTGCATGCTTGTTTTCAGTTACAAAATTTTAATCTAACATTTTTTGCCTACTTTAATCTGATTTTCATTATTTAAAGATTTCTTCTCCTCCACATACTCTACTACCAGTGGTGGGCTCCAAATTTTTTAACAACCAATTCTCTGCCCTAATAACTGGCTGTGTGGGCGTGGCTGGGGGGGTTGTGTGACTGAGTGGGCGTGGTCAACTCTACATCACTTGTATAGGTGGTATCTGTATGGGACAGGCAGGATTGGGGAGGGAATCCAGAGGTTTCCAGTGGGGGGCGGGAGGAAAGAAAGATCCAACTGTGTTTGTGTGTGTGTGAGAGAGAGAGAGAGAGGGAGGGACGGAGGGACGGAGGGAGGGAGGGAGAGACGGCGTCAAACTAGACTGGGAAAGCTGGCTGTGAGAGGAAGAGAAGCTGGGTAAACTGGACTCAGATGCTTCCCGAGTCCCCTCATCCGAGAAGCAGCAACCTCACACTCTCCCCTCTCTGCTAGCCCCCTTCTTCGCACAGGATCTCCCAGCAGTGGCGACAGAGAAGGGGGCAGTGGCAGCCACTAGCATTGAGGGAAGAGTGTCACACAGAAACAGGAGCACAAAAAACGCCGCCCCCTTCTCCCTCTCATTTGCTGGGCGATCCCATGCAAAGAAGGGGGCTAGCAAAGCTGGGAAGAGTGCAAGGTTGCTGCTTCTGGGATGAGGGGACCCAGGACATGTCTCTTCCTCTCGCAGCCAGATTTTTCAGGCTGTTTTTCAGGCTGTTTTCAGACTGTTTTTGGACTGAAAAATGGCCTGAAAATGGCCTGAAAAACAGCCTGAAAACAGCCCAAAGAGTGTTTGTCAGGCCATTTTTGGGGCTGTCTTTTACCTGAAAAATGGCCAAAAATGACCCAAAAAACTCGCCATTTTTGGGGCATTTTGGGGCCATTTTCAAGCCATTTTCAGGCCTTTTTTCGGGCCAATTTTGGCCTGAAAAATGGCCTGAAAATGGCCCAAAAATGGCCTGAAAAACAGTCTTTTTTGAGGGCATTTTTCAGGCTATTTTTGAAAAAATGGCCCAAAAAACAGCCTGTTTTTTGGATTAGCAGAGAATTTCTCATAATGCAAAGATAGCATTTGATTCAAGCCAGCATAACCACAACATACCAGAAGCAACAACTACCTCTATTCTTAAAAGCGTATTAAAAAGTTTTCTCATGTTATCAAGAAATAGAACTCTCCTATATGCATTTGTATCAAGAATGTTTTTCTCCTATCCCAATTATTTTAGCCCAGATTTGCTTATTTCTTCCTCTATATAAGAACGTGGTCAAAGGTAGGGAATGTGTTGTGCTTCATATCTAAAGCCAACAACTTAATTTTGTCTTTGGATCTGGGGTGCAGCATATTCCCAAGTTAAAGGGAAGTATTAAAATTTTAAAAATGTGCTTGAAGTCCAAAATAATGACAGGAGGAAATATGTAACTAAGAGAGATAGTTCAACATTCTAAATTTAGAACTGTATTGCCTGGAGTTTTAGAAAATATATTAACATAGGAGTGGGAGTAGGGAATGTTCTGCTAATTCCCTGGGAAGGCTTTTTTCTCTGAATAGCTGTCACTCATTATCTGTTTTGGAATCTCTTTCTCAGGGCAAAATTACACATTCAGTTTTAGATGCAAGTCTGAAAACACACTGTTAAACAAATGTGAGGTAGCAAGGGAAGACTAGAGCATATACCGTTCTCCATCCATTCCTTTCCCGTTTTTAATTTTGCATTGTTTACGTAATGGAATTTTCAGTTTTAGATTTTGGTCCTTAATTTTATATACAAGAACTTGTCATTTTTAATCATTTACCTTTGATTAAAAATTAATATATTTTAACATTCCAGAAAAAAAATGCTAACCTACAACACTATTTGAACTGTCTTTAGTAAATTATTTTAAAAAATTAGAACATCTAAAGATTAAGAAAAACAGTTAACGTAATTTTTATTGTTCAAACCAGCTAATATATGCAGGATATTATTTAAAATAAGTCATTACAAATATATCAATACAACAACAAAAAATTATATACCACATCTGAACTTCTTATCTAAGTTTAGGAACAATGGAGTTATTTAAGATTGATAGAAAATGAATACTGAAATTACAATTTGTATTTCTAAGTTTGTTTCATAGCACTAAGTTGGAAACCTTTTAAAAGTGGAATTTATGTCAAGAAGCCAATTCATCAAGTCAGAATCAGCTCTTCCACCATTCATAAAATCTTAGATATTTTGCAATCTGTACTTTATGAATTATTTTCTAGGTTGTTATGAGTTTCTGAAAATAATACAATGACACCCCCATGCCCGACCCAAAATGTTAAAGGCAGAAGCCAAGTCCAATGCATAGTGCTTACCTTTTAACTTTTCCTGTGGGGAATATGTGACAAAACATTGTACAGCAGCATCAATTTGCTTAGGAGTGCTTGTGAAATTAATATTCCCTTCAACGTCTGCTTTTGGAAATAATATGTCAGGTTCTTTGCATTCCTAGTACAAAATAAAATCATATTTATTACGGTAATATAACACTTGAATGTTTTACAACAACTCTTCAGAAGTTGTTAACCCATAACTCTAAGGTACTCTTATCACTCTCTATGCTGGCTGGAGCTTCTGGTGAGCTCATTATCCCTAGTGTCAGATGTAAAACAATGCATCTGGTAGTTGACAGTGATTCACCAAGATATATAACATAATAAATCTGGCAGTCTTTAAGGTAATAATGCAACACTTTGTCAATTTCTTTTTCACCCAATCTTTGCATTGTTTCCAAAACATTTATTGTATGTTGTGAATACTCAGACCTAAATATAGACAGACCTACATTTAAAATAGTCTTCTTCCTCAAGGAAAAAACAGTCCACTTGCCTTTTGAAAAAGCACCTTTGAGACATTTAAAATAGTTATTAATAATTTTAAAAGGAAATTGCAACTGGAACCAATTCCTGTGATTTGATCCACTAAAACTGGAATGGGCAATGTGCTTGTGTTGAAGAGCCATACCTCCTGCAGATGATACTAAGGGCTGTCTGAGACATGGCCAACAGCATTATGTTACTAGAATGGGTGGGGCCCAGAATTTTGGCTTTTGAAGGAAGATGTTGGATAGTTAAGGTGTCTTTTCCAAATTGATAAAAATGGACTAAGGCATAGGAGGGACTTTAAGGAAGAGATTAAGGCAGGGGTGTCAAACCTGATTGCATCGCGGGCCATATCGTGACATATCGGGATTTTTTTTGCCCTTGTGGGGCCAGGGTAGGTGTGGCCCACAGGCCACGTGTTTGACATGCCTGGATTAAGGGATGAGACACATGGTTTGCAGCTGACATAGGCCTAGAGCACCTACTTTTTTCCCTTAACCACCCTCCTCCATCAATCATAACTTTTGTAGCCACACATTCCAAGGGAAAAAGGTGTGTGCAACTTTCCACTCATGAATTGCTTGTCCCTAGGTTTGTACAAGGCAGCACCTGTTAGTATTCAAGGTAGCCATCTCCATGTAACTGAGTAGTGTCATTGTGAGATGTAAAGTGGCACCCAAGAGCTCACCACTAGATGAAGCAGCATTAAATTTCTTCCCCAAATAACCCTCATTTTTTCAAGTCTCTAAATGAGACCTGGGCAAGGAACATGGGCTTTGCCTTCTGACTATTTGTTCTTTTTTCTGAGAATTATTGGTATTCTTGGTGAATATATTTGTGTATTCATTTAGTCTGCCATCATTTGTTTCAGTGTGCTCTAACACTTAATTGACTATCAGCTGCCTCTAATGGCAAATTTGATTGGCAAGTTAACACCAGTCATAGCTATTATGAGAAGTAATTTTTTAAAAGGACACAAAAGGGAATAAAGGAGCAGCATCCATGAGAAACAATGGCAGGAAACATTCAAATAGTTCTTTTGAGAGGGGGTTATTTTTACTGGAGGAGGGCTAAAAAAAAAAGAAAACTACTGAATATTTAGCAAAGTCCCATATATCATGAGAGGCAAAATACATGTAATGCATCTTCTGACCACAACTGGCTTCCCATTATTACTCCATCTGTGAAGGCAGCTTGTAGTCTTGTCAAGACAAGAAAAACTGTGCCAATGGTAATTTTTTGACAGCCAGCTGGTTCCCTTCTATCAGTGGCTGCCACATATGTGCTGTAATGAATGCATACCAGAATGGCTTTGGAAACAAATGGCATACCCCTAAATCATATGCCAATGTATCTGGCTTTATAAAGTTTTTATTTTTCACATCAATAACCATTCCAAATTTCTTCTGACATTTCTGTTGTAAAAATAAACAACTTACTAAATGGAATTAAAATATTAATTTAAAATACAGATTAACTGTTCTTAATTTTCACAGATTAGCTATAAAAATCCTATTTTCACAACAATTAAAAGCACATTTCCTTTTTTAAAAACTATTTGCAAAGCATTGACACATTGGGCTTTGTTTTGCAGAATTGTAATCACAGGACGTGTTTCTAGCATTCAGGATACAATAGTTGGTTAAAACTATCATTAAAATTAGACTAGAGTCTATGGCCCTCTGAAATTAATTAGGTAAAGTACTATAGACATCTCCTAACTTAGGGTTCTTCAATATTTTTCAGGTTGTGGAACCAATTGTGTATCTTGGAATGTAAAGTTGAAATATTCACCTCTCTTTTGGACTATCTACTCTCAAGGAAGTTAAGGACCTCAGGGTATATAACTCAAATAAAATGAAATGAAAATGAAATGAAATGAAAAAAAAGTTAAAAATAAAGTTCAGTCTGAAGAGGTGGGTTTTGTTTGTTTGTTTGGCTATACCAACAGTGCATTTTGAAAAAGTTTTGTACAATGCATAAAAACAAACCACGATAAGACTCCAGGTTCACATTTAAAATAAGGCTTATAAACCATTCATTGTCAAGAATCTGTTCATCTAAAAAGAATAATAAATCAGAAAATAATCTGGATGCCACATTTTGTTCATGTCTGTCTATTCTGGAACTTTCCTCATAATATCAATATGTGTCTAAGGAGTGGAAAAAGAGGAAAATCCCATTTTTTCTTTACATCTTTCTAAATTGGTGGTTTTTAAAGTTTTTTTTTTATCGTTTTCCTTCTCTAAACTGAGAAGGCCAGTGTTATAAGGGTCTCATGGGTTCATTGGAATTGTTCTAATGGACAGCACACAATATCTTTTTCCTTTTTATTACCATGATAATGCAAATTAGTACTTTCATTTGCGGGCATGTAAAGCAAAGTAGACAGTATTTCATTTCCACAGCTTTACAGAAGCTAAACAAATCAGTTTCTTTCCCCCTTCTTTCCTACTTCCCTCAGGCCATTCTGATAAGTGATGGTAATAGAGAAGTAGCAGTAAAAGAACAAAACAAAAGCTTGAATTATGTATGCCTATCCAAGCATTTCAAAGTTAAACCTCTCTCTACAGGTTATACATGCAGCCTTCAGTGTTAGCAAATGTGTGCCTTGCTATAGCTAGGCTCCCTTCCTACTGAGAATTAAGTTATGCTGGTCAGCAGTTCCTCTTAGGCTGGTATAATGTAGTCCTCTTCTCTTTTTCAGGAAGAAATTTACCAGCATGCAGCTTTGGGGGTCTTGGGCACCTTCAAATCATTCAGTGGTGTTCAAAAAGGGCAACATTGTCTACACCACTTCAGGATGGCCAGCCAATCCCCTATTTTAACCACATTTATATATTACAGCAAAAGAAATGATCAGCAAATCTTTTTCAGAACTTTGGAGAACAGACTGGCACAAGATATCGATTCCTCTCCCAGGACATTGTAGTAACAACCCAGAAGATTAGCAAAGAAACTGCAGGGCTCAGTATTCTCTCCGCTCCTCTTCAACATCTACATGAGGCCATTGGGTGAGATCATTCGTCACCATGGACTGAGATATCACCAATATGCTGATGATACTCAGTTGTATATCTCAGCCTGTGGTGAGTTAAGCAATGCTGTGACCTCCTTCTCACAGTGCCTGGAGGCTCTTAGGGGCTGGATGGGGAGCAACGGGTTAAAACTGAACCTAGGCAAGACCTAGTGCAATGATGGCTAACCTTTTTTCCTTCGGGTGCCAAAAGTATGCCCGTACACGCTATCGTGCGCACGTATGTGCCCACACACATAATGGAATGCCCCTCCCACATGCGCCGCCTCTCTGCACATGTGCGCAACCCCCCGCATGCGCACACGACCCCTGCATGCGCACACAATCCCCCCCTTTTGGCCTCACATCTCAAAACAGCACTGGGGGGGGAAGCCTTTCCCTCCCAAAACAGCTGGGGGGGGGAAAGCTTCCAAAACAGCTGGAAGGGGGAAAAATAGCCTTTGCCTCCCAAACGGCTGGGGGGGGGGAAGTTTCCAAAACAGCGGGGGGGAGGAAAAACAGCCTTTGCCCCCCAAAACGGCTGGGGGGGGAGGGAAAAAAGCCTCGCCTCCCAAAACATCGCTGGGAGGGGAATCTCCAGAGATCTGGGAAGGCATAGGCAGCAGAAAGTGAGGAAAAAGGTAGGTCTCCCCACGCATGCCGTTTGCAGGGCAGACCCAAAAATTAGCTGGCCGGCGGGAAGCTATTGCGCAGTGCAACTGAGCTAGGCGACAGCTCGCGTGCCCACAGAGAGGGCTCTGCGTGCCACCTGTGGCACACGTGCCATAGGTTCGCCATCACGGACCTAGTGGCTCTTGTTTTTGGGTTCTTTGGTCCATGCAGAATTGCCACCTTTGGTCTTAGATAGAGTGGCACTGCCCCATACACACCCAGTGTGTAATCTGGGGGTTCTCCTGGACTTGCGACTCCCGCTCTTTGAACAGGTAGCAGTCATGCCCAGGAGGGTGTGCAGGTGTGCCAGTTATGCCCTTTCCTGGACCAAAAATCCCTACTCACTCATGCCCTAGTCACTTCCCGTCTTGACTATTGCAATGCGCTCTACATGGGGTTGCCCTTGAAAAGCATCTAGAAGCTCCAGTTAGTGCAAAATGCAGTGGCCCACATGGTTTTGTGCAGAATAATAATCCCCTACCCCACTCTGGTGACAAAACACACTCATATCAGCCATTTAATGGGCTCCATCTGGCTCTGGGTTCCCCAGGCCCGCTGGCAGAACCACGTCTTTAGAGCCTTCTGAAAGTGTCAGAGTGGGGACCAGTCTAATTTCAGGAGGGATGATGTTCCATAGGGAGTGAGCCACCACAGAGAAGGCCCTTCTACTGGTTTCTGCCAGATGTATCTCCTAGGAAGATGGGACTCGCAACATTCCTTGCCTCACCTCTCTAGTGGGTTGGGTGGATGTGACTGGCAAGAGACGGTCCCTCAGATAACTTGGCCCCAAGCCACGAAGTGCTTTAAAAATGACAACCAGCACTTGAATTGCACCCAGACGCAAATCGGCAACCAATGCAGCTCCCGCAGGAGAGGTAACACATGTGTACACTGAGTTTTATTATTATTTTATTATTATTTTTATTTCTTCTATATTG